AAAAAAAAAAAAAATTATATCAAGCATCACCTAATATTCAATACACTTAATTTACTCTTCTTAATTACTTTGATCGTATATTATTACTAAAGTAAGATTAACGTATTTTTTTACTTATTTTATTTTCAAATGATTGTCATGTACTACTATGTAGCATAATTGGCATTAAAAATTAAAAAAAAAAATAATTAAGGATATAAGATGTTTAAGGCATAGGGTAATTTTCTCTTTATTAACCTGAAAACATACCTTCTGAATTTTTTAAGGCATATAATTGTAACTGGATCACTCAATTTAACCCAATTTTTTTCCAACGGATTTCGTACCCCGCCATCATCTCTCTCACTCGCTCACGGGGTATGCGTGTTGTACGTATATATGTATGTATTATGTATATACGTTCGTTTATACGCACAGGATGCTACAGTGTTAGAGAGCTGAGAGAAGGTGAAAATGGTGATCAACGGCACATCGCTTGAGCTGCCCCGCAGCTTCGTACGAGTTCAGAATTCAACCTCTTTCGCTCAGCCGGCAGCGGTTCATCTCCTTCACTCGACGGCCAATTGCAGTGGTCGGAGCAGACCCAGGCGCCGGTCGTGTAGATTGAAGGGCGTTTTGGCGAAATCCGGCGTCGTTTATCGCGCCGTGGTTGAAGACGCCGGGGAAGAAATGGAGGAAGAGGGTGGTTCTGCGGTTGGAGATGATGCATCTGACGCTGCCTCGGGGAGTAAGCTGGTGAGTTTATGAGTTTCCTTTTTTTTNNNTTTTTTTTTTTTTTTTGCCTTTTTTGGTGGTTTAATTATATGCTGCAAGTAACTGTTTGCGTTTATCATAGTTTCTCATGCTTAATTTTTGATGACGATAAATGTGTTCAAGTTTAGAACAAGGGCTCGATGGTGAAAGGAGAGTGAAAACTGTTCAAATTGATGAAAACTGAAAATCTTCACGGTTGATGTTTTAACGGATGTGAGGCACAGTTTTTCAATATAATCATATAAATGTGATTACATGTTTATGTGCACAAGCATTTGGGATGAGAAATGAGGTTGGATCACAATGGCCAAATGTATGACGCCACTTGAAATATTGTTGAGCCAGATGCAACTTCAATCGTTTGGTATCGAAATATAATACTAGTCCATTGCATGAATTATCATCCTCATGAGACAGTTTAGATCGCGAATTAGAAATCTGATGGGTGAATTGATTTGTTGATACACTGGTTATGTTGTGTTGTTCTTAGAACTGTAGATCTGAAAGTGCTTTCTGTGACATGGGACATATCTAGGCTAGCAGTTCCATTCATGCTCTATGTATATGCAATTGTCAAGTTATATGATATTGTTTACTGATAAGTCAGCTCCGAATTAGTTATTTATTGTGTTTTAACTTTGCTGTAATTCTTTAAGGTTACTGGAGTCATTCCGAAGGTTCGGGAGCGAGACTTCACTGACACTCCTTATGTTCCAGTTTATGTGATGCTACCTGTGAGTTGCAATATTATATCCTTAATATAACTCCATTTGGTCTCACTACAATTAATTTTCTTCATTTGAGTTGTTCAAAATATATAGAGCATCATACTTCTATTCCTTCTTCTTCTGTTTGTTAAAATTCGTTTTGGAATCAGCTGGGTACCATCAGCATGGAGTGTGAGTTGATTGATCCGGACAATCTGATTAACCAGCTGAGGATCCTTAAGTCAATTAACGTTGATGGTGTTATGGTTGATTGCTGGTGGGGCATTGTGGAGGCACATGCACCTCAACATTATAATTGGAGTGGTTATAAGAAGCTTTTTCAGATTGTACGGGATCTCAAGCTCAAGCTGCAGGTGATTGGCCATGAGGATTATGAGATTCATAATTACTGAAATAGCTCAATGACATCTTAACCGGGATATTTTACTGTTATCACCTTCTTTTGAACGTCTGGTTGATATCCAAGTGCTTCCTTTCATTTTAATCCATGTTTTTTCAAACAGGTAGTAATGTCTTTTCACGAATGCGGTGGCAATATTGGTGATGATGTGCATATCCCCCTTCCACGATGGGTTATGGAAATTGGCGGTCAAAATCCTGATATTTTCTTCACAGATAGAGGGGGGAAACGTAACCATGAATGTCTTACTTGGGGAATTGACAAGGAACGGGTCCTGGGAGGTCGAACTGCTGTTGAGGTATTCTTGGTTAACTGTGCATAACGCTTTCTTATTACCATAATTGTGATCTCTAAGAATATTGTATTATATGTATCAGTACTTAATATGCAAGTAAAACCATTATGCAGGTTTATTTTGATTACATGAGAAGCTTCCGTGTCGCGTTTGATGAGTTTTTCGAGGATGGAGTCATCTCTGAAATTGAAATTGGACTCGGTCCATGTGGGGAGTTACGCTATCCATCTTATCCTGCAAAACATGGCTGGGAATATCCTGGTATTGGGGAATTTCAGGTAAAAAAGTTTCACTCCTTTTATTGACTCGAGTATCCTTCCACTAGTTGGATGCCGGCAGTTTCTTATCATCTTATGGCCAAGATGTATCTTTGACCCTGACTTGGCTGGCAGCATTATCGGTATACGTGAGCATTTTGCGTTTATCATCTGCCACATTCACTTGATTATGGTGAATTTGTTTAATTTTCTTCTTCTGAACAGTGCTATGATAAATACTTGATGAAGAGTTTGAAGAAGGCAGCAGAAGTGAGGGGCCACTCATTTTGGGGTGAAGGGCCTGATAATGCAAGTTCATATAATTCCAAACCACATGGAACCCAGTTCTTCCGTGATGGAGGCGATTATGATAGCTATTATGGCCGATTCTTCTTAAACTGGTACTCTCAGGTTTTGATTGATCACGGCGACCGAGTACTCGCTCTGGCAAATCTAGCCTTCGAAGGTACTCCAATTGCTGCAAAGGTGTGTGAACTTTTCTGTCTCGTCCAAATCAAAAGAATGGCTACTTGGATTTTCCTCACTTCTTACAGCAAAATTTAGGTCTAGTCTTAGTAAAAGTAAAGAAACTAAACAGTTGCATGGAGAGTTACATATATCAGTTGTATTTGTTGCATTTACAAATTAATATCTAATTAAGATTTATCTTATTATGAAAGTACGGCCCTAATCAGGGTATTTGTTATGTTTGAGTAGTATCGATATTGTTCTAGGCTATACTCAATCTGTAGTTTTTGTAGTTTAACGTCTGTTGTTTAATCACAGTGAAATTTCCCAGATGCCATTTGCTTTTGTTCACTATGGATTTTTATCTGAAGTGATTTCATGGGTTGAGCAGTTATCAGGGATTCACTGGTGGTATAAGACAGCCAGCCATGCTGCAGAGTTAACAGCAGGTTTCTATAATCCGTCCAATCGTGATGGTTATGCTCCAATCGCATCGATACTGAAAAAGCATGAGACTGCTCTAAACTTCACGTGCGTCGAGTTGCGAACATTAGATCAGCAAGAAGATTTCCCTGAAGCATTAGCAGATCCTGAAGGATTGGTTTGGCAGGTTAGCAGCTCTGAACAAAGAAAGGAATTCTCTATTACCTGCTATTTAAATTTCATTACGTACTCGATTATAAAGGGACTGCTGAGAATGGATATTACTGTATTTTACAAGATAACTTAGAACTAGTTTGAGGTTTGGCCTAGTTACCCCGTTGAAAAAATAATTAAATATATAAATAAATGAAATTGGATTTTCAAAATTACTACAGTCTAATACTCCACCCCGAAAGGTATTCCAATTTTGCATGTTCTTGACAAGTACTCCCCTATTGAGGCTGTAACTTGTAAAACTGAAACATTTATCAAATGGAGATTTGTAATTTTTAGAGAACCAGAAGTTTTCGTACTCGAGATTCTCTCTGTCCTGGTCCATAAATAAACCGTCTGTGCCCGAGAGATGATTGGATTTCTCTGAAATCTGCTTATGCAAACATTTTTAGGTACTAAATGCTGCATGGGATGTCGGCATACCTGTTGCAAGTGAAAATGCCCTTCCATGCTACGATAGAGAAGGCTATAACAAAATACTGGAAAATGCAAAGCCTTTCAATGATCCAGATGGACGACATTTATCTGCTTTTACCTATCTCAGACTAAGCCCATATCTAATGGAGGACCAAAATTTCCACGAGTTTGAGCGATTTGTTAAGAGAATGCATGGTAAGTTCCTTTCGTTTGATGATCAGACAAAAAGTATCTTGTGTGAACTACAAGCACCACCCTACATTTAGCCTAAATATAAAAAGTTTGTTTTTATCTAATGAAATTGCAATATACCCTGTTATAATTCTGGAGACCAACTAGTTTCTTGTGTGATTTAGACTGCTCTTCAATTGTACTGCTCATCACAACTGTTGTTGAGCCCGCTCAAAGCAAATTTATCTGATTACGGCTTCATTTTTGCCATGGCTGCTAATTACTGGAACTATTTTTAATCGAATTTTCAGGGGAATACGTGCCGGATTTGGAATGTGGCCAAGAAGAGGAAACTCAAACCTTAGATGAATAAACCATTTGGCTCTGTTAACAAAGGAAGCTTTGCAGACACCATGTATTTTCATCTGGAGATTATCGAATCATATAGTCTCAACAAGTGTAAACAAAATCAAATGTAAACAGGGTCTCTGTAATATAATTATACACACAAACGGGTGTGTTGATGCCGGTGGTACCGGCGTTCTCCAGATCCGTTAATAGCGTAAAATGTGGTGATATCAGTTTTTACTTTCTGACATAGAAATATACATTTGTGATACAAGAGGACTGCACATACAGAACCAACATTTTCATCTACACAATCAAATAATGAATGATCATCTCCTAATAAACTTTCTATCTTCCCCATGGACTTACCCTATATTGTCTTCTCCTCCCTCCATATTCCCAAAATTATGAATAAATTTAAAAAAAAAATCCTCAAAATTATCCGACAAAATAATCCTCATGCAAGGTGCTTGAATTTTGACCTTTCTCCATTTCTTGGAAAGTTCCATAAGAAGGTAGCGGCGGGTATGCATGAGGAACATCCAATGCGACTGCCCTTTCTATGGCTGCTTTATACTCTTCGTTGTGTTCTTTCACCAACGATGCCTGTCTTTCCATCTTCTGTGCTCGGGGGAAGTTCATAGCATGCTCTTTTTCCAGCATGGCCTGCACTAAGAATTTTTTTTTTAATGTTTTCAGTATCAATAAGAGAAAAATTAAAACAGCATACAAAGCTCAAGATGATGAGAAATTATATTCGGCATTCTTTAACAGGTAAGTCTTGAGTTTGTATATGCATACGGAAGTTGAAAATGTATATTATAATCGTGTTTTTTTTTTTTTTTCCAGTCATCACCAAACCAGTTACCAATGAAATAACTTACATTATATGCTCTTTCAGATTCCTGCAGTATCCAAATAATAGCATGGTCCGATGTTATGTTGCACGAGAGCACAATGTGCTCAAACCGCCCATCTACAGGCACTGCTGTCCTAACGAGTGGTTGAATTCTTTTACATCTGCACATAGGAAAAAGGAAACCAAACAAAAATTAAAATTAACATCTTCATAATTCCAATTCGGATAGTAAAAGAATCCCTTCATTCTTCCCAAATTTCCAAAAACTTCAGTATTACAAATCACCCACTTCAGGTACCTTTGAGGTTTGTATTTGCTTAATTGAGGGTACAACTTGTGAAATAGAAGCAAATATCTTGAGGGTAGTTTTTATTTTGGATATCTGAATTTCCATTTTGCAATTACAAGAAAAATAAATCATCCACCAGTTGAAAATTTCAATTTCAGTACACCAGATTGTACATATATGCATACCTGAAGGGTTTTCTCACGATAATGTGATAGAGTCGACCCGGTGCGTACAACCGCCTTGGGTCCTGGAGCATCTTCTCCTCTAGTGTGCACGTATCTTTTAAGCACATTATGCACATCAAGCAAGGGAAACTTTCAAGACAGAAAGTAAAATAGTGTGAGTTAAGAGTATATGCATATCATGAAATCAGTGGTTAATTACCATGCCATCACGATTATATTGAACCACAAATGTAATGGTCGTAAATGATAGAGGGGATCATTCGAGTGAGCTTGACGGACTTAAGAGAGTTTTGACCTTTTTTTTTTTTCGCGCGAGATGTAAAAGGTTCATTTTTCTCAATAGTATATAACCAAGGAACAAAAACTACATGCCTCTAAGACACCAAAAGGAGAAATTTTTGGTTAATGAAATAGCTCATATCCATAAATTTGAGTTACATCTACTGAACTCAAATCCTTCTGGAGAACTTATGCGAAAATAATGAGAGAAATTAAACAATAGAAGTTGCTCGTCTCATGCAGCACACATTCCATGAATGAATTTAACAAGGAATCGCCAATCATCAAAACTGGGCAAAGAACACTCAGAAGAGGGGAGAATCTTTTACCACAAAAGTGATTTGTAGACGTCCTCAAGTGCTACTGTTGTCCGGGGTAAGAAATCATCCTGTATAATAAAGGTAAGACAATCATTTAAAAAGTTACTAATTTACTACACAAGCACATTCCGAGAATGAACTTCCAACTCGCAGAAAAAAGAACTTAAGGATCAAAAAGCCCAATTTTAGGTTTAGCGTCATGAAAAGGAGGTGAAAATGCATTCATGACCCACATATAACCATTTGTAAGAAGGAACTTAAACTTAACAGAATGCAAATATACATACCTTCAACAAGGTTCGTAAAATGTCAAATGATATATCTCTATACGCATCTCAATGTAGCTAATGCTTAAAAAAAAAATACAAGAGGCATCGGGAAGCTATATCAAGAAATATACATTTGAAATGAAATCATCATAACGAGAAAAAACGAGAAACAAAAAATAGAAAAAGCCAAAGCAACACACACACACACATTTGGATCCTTCATAAACTTGCGACAACCCAAACCAAACTAAACACACTGCTCCAAAACAAACCGAGCAAGAAAAGCCAAATCATCAAATGCAATAAAACCAGGTACCTGCAGCACCACCGAGTTTATCACATCCGCATATCTAACCGCCAAATTCAACGAGATACACCGTGCAGGCGCAATTGCAAAGCACCTGATCCTATCCCTCTCGACACCCCCCAATTTCTCCCTATTCTTCACCGCCAGCATCGTCAGCAACGTGACCACCCCGGCCCCAAGAGAATGCCCGGCAAAAGTCAAACTGTATTCACTATACCTACCCACCAACTCCCCCAACACCCCACACTCCTCCTCCAAAACGTATTGGGCCGCCTTCAGAAGCCCATTATGCACGTAGCCATCGTCGTACGTAGTCTGGCCGAGCTTGTTATCAAGCAGTAGTAGAAAATCACTCTCTTTACCCAAATTAAGTCCCCTGATCAATAAGATTATGTCTGAATTTTCATGGTCGATGTAGATCATGTAAGGTGAGACTCGGCCGGCCGTGTCGGAATAGTCCTTCTTGGAGACGACCCAGTCGGGATTTATGCCGTAACCGCCGGGTGGGGCCCACACCGGCTGGCGAAGGTCGTTTTCATAGACCGAGAGGATGTAGCGGCAGAGTCGGGGCACGGGCTCGAACTCTGCAGCCGTGGCGAGGCCCCATGTCTCGCTCTCGCGGCCTGCGGTGTAGAGGAACTTTTTCCAGACCCAACGGGCGCACGCTAGGCAGGACACGCACTCGACAAGGGGCACGCAGCAGGCCACGGACATCGATGCCTTCAAAAGTTAGTATTTTTTTATTTTTAGTTTTTCCCCACAAGAAACACACAAGGAAGTCACTATTGGGTGTGCATAGATTCAAGAAAATTCATCCAAATTGGGGGATGGAAAAGGCTTCTTTTTTTATCTTTTTTTTTTTTATGTATTTTAAATGTAGAAAAA